TTTAATTGAATGGATAAAATAAATACAAGCAAACTGTTTAAAAATTATTAGTAAATCAATGATAATATTAGACATAATAAAAATTAAAATGAAAAAGAAAAAAACTGTTATGTAAATTATTTATTTATACTTAATTATGGAACATTATGTATTACTATAACTGTGTAAGTAAATAAAAAAAAATAAAAATAAAAAACAAACCAACAAACATGCCAGACATATTGAGAAAAGAAACCAAAAAAAAGTAATCTAAATATATATATAAATAATTTATGTATAACCCTTACATAGACTTATGTTATATATACACAAATCGGCGGAAAAAGCTATATGAGGTAAAAATTCCGACGTATAAGTAGAAAAAAAAAACACAATACAAAACAAAAACAAATAACATCAGCAACATAAAAGCAAATACAACAAAAGTTTAACTTTAAAGCGTGATTTCAATGGAATATATATCATCAGTTAAAACAAATTACTTGACTTATATATCAAACGTTTACTGTAACTCCTCATTTTAATGAATATTCTTTAAATTTAAAAAACAATTGTTGATTTTGCTTTCAGTTGCATTCTGCTTTATGTCGAACTCTTAAGGTTTCTAATACTCTAAAACTTTTCGTATTTGATTTATCATAATTTTGGAAAAGCATATTAGATCATAATGAACATATATATTATATATACATACTAAATAAATGATTATTAATATGGAAAATGAAAAAGAAAAAAAAATACACTGTTAAAACAAGAAATATTAAGAACAATAATAGTTATTACTATTTATATATTATATTCAGGCATATATAAACATATATATATATATATATATATATATATATATATATATATATATACATATATATATATATATGTATATATATACGTGAAATATAAACAATATACATTTATATATATATATATATATGTTATACCAACTCAATGAACTGGCAGAGAATATGAAACAACTAAAACAAAACTCTTAAATATGCTATAAAAATTTGTTTAATTGCGAGCATATTCCAAAAATTGAGAGCTGGCCATAATTATTATTGATTATTTCCATATTGCAAGTAAATTGAACTATTAAATTAGATGTTTTTGTCCTGTAAAAAAAAAAATAATAAATAAATAAACATAAAAATGGTATATATAAAAAATTATAATAATTATTATAAAATAATTATAATGCGTAGCTGGGGATCGACAAAGTCCCGCACACCGTTTGTAGTTATGTTCACCAAGCCGAAAAAATTAAAATGAAAAATACACACACACACAGCAAATACAATACCAAGCAACAAATATTTATGTAATATAATTCATCTAAATTACACAAATAAATAAATAAATTAATGTCTTAAAGACCCCGTAAAACAATTCCCCAATAACTAACAAAATATTGTTCACAAAAACCAACCAAAAAAAAAAAAAAAAAAAGAATACGTACTTTGCTTTTCCAAATAATTGCTGCTAAATTATCAAAACTAAACACAAAATACACAAAACTTACAACAACAACAACAACAAACTATATATATATGAAAAACCAACCAACAAAATACTTGAATATTAAACAAATTATATGAAATTATATAAAATGATGTTGATTATTGATTTAAACTGATGAATGAATAAAAGGCAAATGATATATAAATATATATGTATATGTATATATATATGGTTATACATATAAATACATGTATATGTATATATATATATATATATATATATATATATATATATATATATATATATATATATATATATATATATATATATATATGTTAATGCATGTGTGTATACAAATATGCATACATACATAAACACACACATATATATATATATATATATATGCTTATATATACTATGAATATTATCAGAAGAAATGAAAATTCATTTGCGTTTTCCTTCAGTTTGGTTACAATTCTTTCCACACGCTGTACACAATTTTTTAGAGCAATGTATTTTAACAGACTACATGTACATACACACACCCACACACACATATACACATGCACGCAAACACACACACAGCCACCCATGAACTGACCAAAAAAAAGAGAAGTAAAGCAAAATAAAACGAAAGTTATAAATAAATACATGGATATACTATGATTACCGTTAGGCTCACATCAATTTAGCATATTTGCCGTTAGGCATATCTCAGTCTATAAAACTGTTTAATTTCGAAACGTTTTCAATGCAAACCGCAGCAACAGCAGCAGCGCAGGAGCCATCACTAAAAGCACAAATCAGTAGATGAAAACCAAAAACCAAAAACATAAAAAATATATCAGTAAAATCAAACAGTAATGCAAATATGAAATGAAAAAAAAAAAAGTATATACATGAATAATAGTGCAAGGAAATACCACAAGCTGTAGATGTCCATGTATTTTTATTTTTAGATATTTATGTATGTAATTAATATTCGATAAATCAGGCATAAATGCATTTAACAACCCCATACGAAAACCAGGAGATAAAATCCGAAACCAAATGAATAAGAAAACAACAAAAATACGATATACGTGCATATACATAAATATATACATACATATATATCGAGAGCGCACCTGAATAATTGGCATAATGAATGGAAGCTGGCAGAGAAAGTGCACATACATGCATACATACATAGCAACGCGTGTGTATGTGGTATATAACATATACATACATATTTGAATGAATAAAGAGCAAGCGAGACATATATAAGTATAAACTAGGTATACCAAAATATAGGGCAAATGTTTGATGTTGAATCATAAGTTAAAGGACAAATTGCGAGCGCATAATATGCAAATACATACATATGGAATATAACATAGCATACATGGCATACATATTTACATGCATACATGCGTACATAGGCAAACAATCTGCGACAAATTGCAAATCATTTTATATACATATATACATAAATACATACATACACAATACCAAACAGAATAACAGAATAGTAAACAGAAATGGAAGATTTATACATAATCAGTACGGCACCGCATAGTATGAAGAATAACCATACCACATACATATATATATATATATAAATAGCTATGCATCCTATGTACATGCATATACATACATACACACATAGCATGCATACAAGATTCAACTATTTAACCGTTACCTCGTGTATCGGCTATCGCTGCAGTCGCAAGCAACTGGCGACTCATACTCACCACGACACCACCATTCTCACCACAGTCTCCGCAGTGGGACTCTCCACCACTCCATAATTAAGCTCGTTTCGGAGTTTTGTTGTTTATGATAAACTGTTTATAGCTGTTTTTCAAATTTTAAACAAATTATATTTACTATATGAAAGATAAAACTCAAATAAAAAATGATCAACAAAAAAAAAAAAAAAACAAAACCGTATATAATAGTATAAATTATACTTACATGTATATGTTTTAAAAGCTCTTACCAAAACTTTATTGCAAACTGAATAACTGCAAAACGAAAACGATTAAATTATATTATTGATTAAACTGCATACTACATTATATATACGTATATATATATATGATGCAACTGTATTGCAAGCAACAAGTATATAATTTTATTTCCAAATAAAACAAAATTGAAAAAAACAAAACAAAAGAATTTAAAGCAGATAGCAGATGTATGCGGACGCTACAGCCGCACACCGAAAATAACGGCGTCTGTAGATATATTAAACCACAAACACACTGATGTGAACACACAAATGAAATGACATGAAATGATGAATGTTTATAAAGAATAAACAAATGTTTGAAACTATTAAAACTATCCTTTTAACTCGTTTTATTGCTCCTCCCTCAAAGCGGTCTGCCAATGCATAAATAGAAAAGAATGTGCTGCGCTTTCTGCTCTCATAATGTGACGTCATTCACTTCCTATAATATCCCATGAACAAAAGTTTGCTGCTCAAATTCTATAGATGCTATAAACTGAAGAAATTTGCGGGCTTTCTTTAATCGAAATGTTAAAAATAAATTCGATAACTCCATTGATTGTCAAACCGCCAAAGGAATTGCCATCAATAAATTTTGTATATGATCAAAGTTGGCCAATTACACATTCAATTGGATTACATTTGACAGCGATTAGGCATGAAATATACATATTCACAAGATAATTGAAACAATAATGGCGGATCAAACAGTAAAACACGTATCCACAGCACGCATATTGCTGCTCGGCGAGGCAGGTTCGTAGTTCTTTACCATCTGATGATAGTGAATCAATTGGAACTCTCTTGGCAATTTCCAGGCGTTGGTAAGTCGCGACTAACAGATCTATTGGCCAGAAGCATTGACACGCCCACGCACTCCAGCAGGAGCGTCGGCAGCCTATGGTGGAGTGTGCAAGTGCGCTTACACGAGTATCCAGCCAATAAGGGCATGCCGCCCACACCCGAGTGGACATCGTCCTCATCGCCCAGCTCATCGTCGCACAGTTCCGAGCCGTTTGACTCGTTTAAGGGGTTTCGTGGCCGGGCGGCAAGAGCATGCGAGATGATTCCATATTTTGTGGAATTCTATGATCTAAAGAGCTCCATGCGAATGCCGCGCGAGCATAGGAACCGCCTCTTCCGGAACATCGATGGCATTATATTAGTGTACGATCTGTTAGATATGCGCACACACGACAATCTGCACGACTTGCTGTACCAGCCCTTGCGCCAGATCTGCCGCTATCGGCACAAGCGCCTGCGTCCCATATTGAGGCGTCGCCACGTGCCCATCCTAGTGGTGGGCACCAAATTGGATATGTTGAAATCGCGTCGTCTGCGCCGCTCGGGCGGCATTGCCGACCAATTGAGCACAGATGAGATATTGCTCAACTGCTTGGACACCGACAGCTTTGCGGAGAAATCGCGTAACGAAGCCAAGTTACGCAAATTTCTCAACAATGCCATCGACTTCAAACATTTTTTTCCAGCTAGACATAACTGAATTTACATATGCTATTATTTGTATATTTTGTACATTTAACTTTTGTAGTTTTAATTTGAATAAGCTGTATTTATTTCTCTTCAAATTGTTTTTATTTGGGTTGATTCAAGGCAACGTTGAAATTAGCCGGGTGGCCACTGCATTTGGCGACCGCCCAGGAAGTGCAAATGCAAATGGTAGACAGATTGGGCGCCGTGCTGTCCGTTGTTGATGACCACACGATAGCCCTTCTCCAAGCCCTGTTCCTTGGCCACCTTCCGCCCGACCATCAACAAATGGCCCAAGAGCTCGCCGTCTCCCTCCTCGGCTGTGGAGAGCTGCGCAATCGGCTTGCGTGGTATGACCAAGAAATGGGTCGGCGCTTGGGGTGCAACATCATTGAAGGCCACACACTATAATATAAAGCAATTCAGATAGTGATAACCAATTAGATTAATTGCCCTTTGCACCTACTTTGTCGTCTTCGTAGATAAATTTGCATGGAATTTCCTTGCGTAAAATCTTGCCGAATATGGTGTCTTCGGATGCGGCTGCGCTCTGCGCCTTTTCTACCTCACTTGCCATTCTGGCGCAGGTAGTTGAAATGCTGCGATAACTGTGAGAACTCAAATTAATATAATTGAAAATAATTATGTTTTTACAACTGCGCAGCCTACCGAAAAAGTCCAGCTAAATTCCGGCCGGCCGACTCGAACATTGAAATAGGTGCTGCCAACTGACTTGTTTTTGGCTAACCTTAACTGTCACATGAATCCAAATAATAAGGTTGCTTCGATTATTGAACTATCGTTATGCTGCAACGAGCGACATCATTTATTGCAAAAAAGAATTTCATATGATAAAAGTTGACTTCAAGCTATATTTATATTTCTGAAAAAGATAAGCCCAAAGATGTATTCCAGTTTTTTATAGTGAAAACGTATGAATATAAATTTAGGCAGCAAACTGTAATTATTGATAATTTTTACACGGTGCTGCCAACTTACCTGCACGTATATTCGTGAAAGAGCTATCGATTGTATAACCGTTTCATACACGGTCACACGGGCAGTATTTCGGCATTGGTCATCTGAGCACCGAGTGTAAAGCAACAAAGAATATAAAGGTTTAGTTTATATTTTGCATTTAACAATAAAACAAATACCTTTGATTACTGGTGATGTCACAGCTGCGCTCGAAAGTTATCAGTCTCTATAAGCACGTAAGTCTTAACGCAAACATTTGCCAGCACAAAGCACGTGCAGCTGCACTGCTGCAGCAGCAATTGTGGAGCAAGGGCGCATGTGGAAGGGGCAAACGGTAATAACGTTGCGTAAATTCCATTGCAGTTACAGTACCTGGGCCGTGACTACCCCGGCCTAAATGGGCCGCAAAAGTTTCGTAAACAAGTCCACGATGCTTTCATGAAGAATAAGGATGAGAAGGATCCCAAAAAGATCGTCGCTCTGTTGGCACAGGGACGATACCTCGCCAAAGAGGTGGAAGCGTTATATTCGCTAAAGAAGTATCGAACAATTAAGCAGCGTTATAATGATTAATGCGGGAATGCAAATTGAAGGACTGAAAAAGAGAATATGATATATAAATATGCTTTATTTTTGTTTTTATATTGCTTTTTCAAAAACAAAGCCAAATGTATAACCACAAGCAAAACCACACACACACACACACCTATTGAAAGCAGCATACAAATGCGAAACATTGTTATTTTCGAATGTCTTGTCAATGTTTAACTTTAAGTTATTGTTGAATAAAAGCAACAGTCATTGAATAAGCGAAAGACATACACATACAAATATGTATGTGTAAAAAATTAATAAATGACCTTGATTTCTCGTGGGGGCAGGTTGTTGCTGCTGAACCGCTGGATACCGTTGCCAAATTATTGCCACGGGTTGATCGTGCAGAATGCGTTTGCCTGCGGCGCCTGAACTTTGTTATTGACAAAAACTGCGTATTTAAAATTCAGTTGTATTTCATCTACACATGCCTATGCTGTCTGTCTGCCTGACTATGTGTTGGTGATAAACAACGTTGACGCCAACGCCGACGCTGCGGCGCGCCGTCGCCGTCGAAAACAAATAGCTTATTTTTCAGCGACCGCTGCGGCTGTGCACACTATTAAAAGCTTTTTGCTACACAATCCATACACTTAGGGAAACATTTGCTTTATTTAGAGAAAAGAATACTAAAAATTTGGTTTCAGAAAGTATTCAAAAAGTATATATTACGTTTGTTGCCGTTACAGTACTTGAAAGCTTGTGAGGGCTTGCCTTGCAATCGTAAAAGCTCGTCAACGTCAATAATCATGGAATGTTACTATAAAAAGCCTTTTATCACGTCGTACACGTGCAATACACCTGATAAGAAGGTTCATTGATGCCGCGAAAAATAACGTAAAAGGCGCTCAGCCAGGAAATAGCATATACAAATTAAGTTCCCTTTACATATAACATATTAATGTAGTTATTTAATGTTTACAAATGTCTGATTTGGGACTCAATCGAATGTTAACAACATAACAAAAAGTTATATATATTTATATATAAATTTACATATATATGAAGCTTATAATTTTAGTGAGTAGAGATTTATAAATAAAAATAATACAATTGGAAATTAATTTCATATTAGGCTTGAAAATGTATAGTTTTGGAATTGAGTATCCAGATTGAGCTAGCCAAAAGAGCAGAAATAAGTACACATCATTTCATATACATACATACATATGTACATACATATACATATACATATACATATACATATGTACATATGTATACATATGTAGCTATTTAGAAGTCTCCATTCACTTTATCACAAATTGCCAGCATTTACAATTTTATTTGGTGAGTTTTGTGATCTGGCTACTTATAGTCATTTAAAACTAGCAAATTTAAAAACAAAATACTTGATAAAAACTTAATAAAGTTGCAATCCACACGAAACTGAAAAGATATAATTTTAAAGATTAGATATCGTTTAATCGAGTACCAGGTGTCGGAAGTACAAAGTGAAATTTTTGGGACTTCAACAAGCTCTTGGCAGAAATACCGGGAAATTCACAAAAACAATTACACCGTAATTAAACGATGTCAATTTCTTTTAATATAATATTTGGAATATACTTCATACTAAACTAATATATACCTAATAATGACATATTTATATAGAGAGCAATATGCAAAAACAAATAAATTTCAAGGATAGCTATCGAACACATATTTTGCTTAATATACAAATTTTGCTTAATAATACAAATATTTGTAGAGTTATTTCAGGTTATTTCTAACATAAAACCGCTTTAAAGTATATTACAATTATATGCTAATATTCGCATGTCGCTGAATTAAATGCAAAATAATTACATAACATTTGGAATTAAGTATTTGTTGAGTTTACTACCTAATTCTATGCTAAAATCACAAAGTTTTCCATTGGAAAGCGTCATGGTCACAAGGGTTGATGACATGGATAGTGAGTGACATCATAAGCATGCCGGGTATAAATGACATGAATATTGAAATTCAAATCATTTTGCTACACATTCTCACATAGTTCATATATGTGCATATATATTCAGAGTGATATCAGCCGAATTCAAAGCCCAACACATCATCCAGGCCATAGTCGAAGAGACGAAAGTCCTCCTCATAGATCTCATATAGACGACGTATCGCGCCAATTGGCAGAGGATCAAAGTATTTTCTTAGATTCGCACGCGTGCTGGATGGCTTGTGGCCAGTGGGGAACGTCAGGTTCTTGGCACCAGCCAGATAGAGCGCCAAGGCGGAGTCATCCAACAAAGTGTCGTATTTGCCTACAGGCAGAGATAGATTCATTAGTAATTGCGACAGATTTGTATATTCCAGTTTGTTACTCACCCACTACGTTGTACTTCATGACACAGGGATTACACAGCTTGGCAATAACCTCCCAGTGCTCGTTGTAGTCCGTCTGATTGGTGCGACTCAGCTCCGGCGTCAATAAATACTGCACAAACTCGCCAAACTGAACATCGTTGCCCAGCTCCAGGGACGCATTACTAGCGCCCGGTCGCAGCTCGTGCACAATCTGTCGACCCACTCGCGACTGAAAGTACCTGGCACTGGGCGAACCTCCCTCCAGTTTATTGCGATACGCCGAGAGCAGCCGCTCGAATGGATGTCGCACCAGAATGAAGCGTGTATACTCCTCGCTGAACACCTGCATGCGCATCTTCTCACTGAGGTCAGAGAACTTGGTGAACATGCCCACCGAATGGGCCAGCGCACCAGGTATCATTAACGGATCCGTGCCGTTCTGCCATTTGCCCGTCAAGAGCATCAGCACCCGCTTCCAATTCGTACAGGCCACCTGAGAGCAAGAGAACGAGGCAAATAAAGCATTTTTTCTTGTTTAATCTCAGCTAAATAAACATTCATATGAATGAGGCCACAAACTGAATATATATTTTGTTTTTCTTATAGAACATATTTACAAAAATTTCAAATGTCGGTCAGTGATTCAGAATTTTCTGGGTATATATATTTATTGAAACCTATTTCTATAGAAATTAGAGCCCATTAGGCCCACATATTGTCTTCCGGAATTAATTTTACTTGTACTTTTTTTGATAGATAAAAACTATGCTTATGATAAGAGTGTTATAGATATAGTTTTATTAGGTTCAAGCACAAAATTTTAATTTATTTAATAAAATGGCTTTGCGATTTTGTCGTTGGGTTCAAGGCAAATCAGTTAAAATTAATAATTTGAATGTCAGGAATAAAGTCAAATATTCTCTAGATTTCTATATACACATACTTATAACATATATCCATATATATGTATGATCATTTATGACTACGCCCGTCACATCAAATTTCGCTTAACTACCCAACTGAAGACTTTTTATAGGCCCTTGGAAACCAGTTATATTTCCCTAGTTTTCCCTATACCTGTTACGTTGTGTATGCATGAAATTTATCATAAACCGAAAATGGGCATAATTATATATAAAGTACATATAGATATGATTATAAGACCTTTTTTCTTTTTTAAATTGGAATTTGAGCCGACTGTGCAAAATGACTTCAACTTCAATTATGGAAAGTGAATAAGTAGCGAGCAAAGTGCAAAGGCTTGTGAAATGATAATTATAACGAAAGTTAACAACGTGTGTATACTGACTGAATGAGATTTAGATACGTGAGTTCACATATGTATATCAGTTCAGACTTTCCTCTTAACTGCCAATGGTTATAAATCGTAATTTAGCTAGAGAAAAATGTGGTTTAATTGATGCATGTAAATTTTCTTAATTACGCTGAGAGACGGCCACTTAGCGAATCAACTAACTATAACTACACAACAAAAACAACAACAACAACAACAGGAACATCAACAATTGCAGCAACCAGCTATTTGAACTAAACATATAAACAATCCGCTTAGACAATGTCGGAGGTAATTAAATTCTACAAAAAAAAAAAAAAAAAAAAAAAACCAACAACAATTTCAAATCACAAAAACAAACAAATTTTTCATATACCAACTGAAAACGTTGCAATCGAGTGAAATCAACTACATAATACTCGTTTTTTTTTTTGTTTTTTTGTGGAATAATATTTATATCGATATTTTAAAAACTATCTAGGATGTAGGTCTCAGTTTTTATATATGAATAATAATATATATGAATAATAATAATAATAATAGTTTTATAGTTAGACCACTCTCGGATGGACGTTTCGTTACCAATCTCAAAAGAATTAGAATGAATATCAAGTCTCAAGGCTTTATCAATACCAGTTAATATATATCAGAAAACAGTCGAACACTTTACACATAACCAATTGTAAGTTTCACTATCATCAGAACGAGTATATCGAGGAGCCACAGTGATGCGCAGCATACGAAGTCTAGGTCAATGTCAAATTGTCAGTTAAGAGTGAAAAACCCATCAATCATTGATTGTTAAACAAATCACTGTATAAACATTTCAGATTCAAATTGCAAACAATTGACAGCGCACCACTGTGCGTGCCGCAAATGACAGCAGCTAAATTGCGGTTGAGGTTCAGGTTCAGCATTTTTCATATGCAATGTAATAAAATGTAAAAAAAAAAATGTAATAAAAAAAATATTTGCAATCCGTTAGCGATCAAAATATATAATTTTACACAATTTTTTGGGTTATAAAACTGGAATTAAGCACAACACGCGATGGTCGAATGAAAACCATGAAGCCAGATGGATTTAAGAGCAAATCTTAACGGCTGGAACGAGACCAACCAAGCGTTATAACTAAAAGTGCTATATATTGTATTTAGCTTCAAAATCTGCCTAATTCTCAGTCTATTGATAACTGATAACAGCTGATAAAAGAAATTGTGCGGGAGCGTGCCAGCGAGCACGAGCTACGCCCACTTTTGCAGTCGATGTGATTATCAATGCAATATGGCGCCATTATCTGTATAATCTGAAGCCTTTTCCAATACTTATATAGTTACTAACTCACGCAAATGCTAAATAGCAATCAACTAATTAGCGTCCGACTTGTCAGTCAGACTATCTTCTTAATTTATGATTATGATAACTTTATAAAATCATAAACTAATTATCATAAACTAAACTACATTATTATATTATTTAAACATTATTATTAAAAAAAAAAATAATAATAATAATAAATAAACAAACAAAAAAACACTTAAAATAAACGAAAATGTTTTAAAACTGTAAAGACCTTACATATTTTCGATTGGTTCCAGATCTTCGAGATCTACATAAATCACCATTTACTTTAAAGACATGAAACCTATTTCAAATATTGATATTTAATTTATATAGGCGAAAAATAAGGAAAGTTTAAGTACACAAATATCAAATATCAAGTTTCTGGCTAATACAATTGCTGTAATCAAAACATTCTACAAAAATACGGCTCAATCTCTTCCTCTTACATTTAACAGGCATTTGCAGGCTGCTAATACAGCCAATTAGTATAACATTTAGGTATGTTTATTTATAGTCCATAAAATTTATAATATAAACAAAATGGGTTACAGTGTTGTGGCTCATAAGTGGCGCCACTACCGAATTGCATACGTCATGGCCGGCATTACTCAACTGTTGACAGGCAAACGCAATCTGAGTGCTATTCCACAGCAAAATAAAGCTCATTATGTTGTGGGAAGGTTCAAAGTGCGGTGGACACATGAAACAACGTCGCTATTTATATGCCACACCTTGAACAGGTGAGCAATTCAATATTTGGCTGCCTAATCTAATCAAATAGTTCGACTAATACTATAGAATAAGTTTTGATAGCAGCGATGGGGTAGAGGAAGTGTAGTTTTTTTTTTTGTTTTTTTTTAGAATTCCAGATTCTTTAAATTTTCATTAATTGAATTAAATCAGGCGAGATTCCGCTGCTTATCGAACGCGCTATTTGACTTGAAATTTAATTAATAAGGCAAATAAAAGGCAAATCATTTGATAATCCGCAACGAACGTCAGTAAACTGTCGCCAATAAGCAATGAAATTTCCTTCTTAACTAAGTTTGATAATCTGCAAGCCAGTCAACTAGCCTAAGACCTCTCATATGAGGCACGTGTGTGGAGATAGAATATTATATAGAAGTTGTCCCTGCTGGTTTTGAAACTCAACATTAAATTTTAAGCTATAGCTCAAATTGTAGCCTAGACTGAGCCGCAATAACTTTAAGAGGTAAACTCGACACTAAAAAAAAAACTCGAAATAAGCTTAAGCTGAAGCTCAAGATTAGATGAGTTTTGTTGTAATTTCTATACCGCATATACATATATAGAAATATGTACATAACACTTTAAAGCCTCAAAGAGGGCGCCTTATATAATACTCTGCGAATTTCATAGAACTATAAGTATATCAATATATTTCCAGAAAACTTGATAAGCTATCCCATAAGACGTAAATGGATTTCTTGCACAAGTTTTTGGAATTCCAATAGAGTGATTGTTCATATATACATGTATATTTTCCTATTTATAAATTACTGTGCCATATATGTAGACCCACTGTCAAGCAATATTTACAAGGTATAGAATGAATATTTATAATAAAATTTTTAATACTATATAATTTATAATTGCAGAGGTTTATAGAAGGTTATCTAGCGAAATCGGCCTCTAGCGATCGACATAGGAGTTGAATTGTCTGTCAAAGATTAATAAAATTGTTTTCTGATAAGCCCCAACAAACACTTGAATTAATACCAGCAATCAGGTTGTGCCACTTGTGGTCTAGTTGTCTAGTCGAACTAGTCGGGTGAAAGCGCAACAAGCATCTATTGAAATCGATTACCAACATGCCACATACCATGTTGCAAGAATATTATCTTAGAGGCCGGTCTACTTTGTTGCTATGGCGTTGCCTCTGGCGAAGCATCAAATGTCAGCAGGTTCATAAAAGAGAAAACGTGGAGTAACAGAAATCAAAAACAAGTTTTCTTTTTATTTTGTTTTTTTTTTTTTGTATAGACGAGGGGCATTTGACAAAGGGTCGTTTAAACACGCAACGCGCCGAATAGCCGCAAGCGGAAGGGAGCTCAACCGCACATGGCGAAACGGACAGTTCGTACAGAACAGCAACAAAATAAACAAAATTATACGAATTGCGAGGTGTTTGACTAGCTAAATACTCTGTAACTAGCAGGTATATGGTGTCAGCAGCCAAATCTACAATTCAATTAATTTAAGTGCCGACAGTCCGACAGTTAAGGTAAAACTGGTATATAAAAAGTAAAATATTCTTAAATAGTGTTTACTATAAATGATATGACTCTAGCTGATACAAATAAATATATTAGAAAGGTCCAAAGCCACGAAAGAGACAGCATCCTCAACTACCCATAGAAAAATTCACAGCAAATGAAATTAGACTATTTTATACATTCACACACAACTGTGCTACCTCTTTACCTCGGCTTTGCACAGGGTATATACATATATATAAAATTCTGCAAAATGTGCTTAAAAAGCAAAAACAACTATATACTTAAAACTAACGTTGCGAAATAATTAAAAAACAAAAAAAAATAAGAGAAAATTGAGTAACTTTGTGGCGGGTACCTTTGGCACGTAGCAGTAGAGCAGTTTATGCTCCTTATCCACAATCATGTGATCCATTTGCAGGTCTGTAAGATCATCCACTGTCTGTGTGTCGGCATCACGCAGTAGATCACATTGTCTCTGCAAATACTCCTGACGCTGTATGTTGATCGTCTGAGTGAGCTCCAGACTCTGTTTGGTGATCTTGACATTGTTGTTGTTGCCATCCCCGAATGCGGGCGCTGCCCAGAGTTGCGCAAATGTGTAAATCAGCAAAATGCCAAATAGTTGTAGTGCATTATGTGCCATTATCTCGAATGGCTGTGATTTTAACAAGATTCAAGCTGCTTTTCATTGGAGGATGATTTTGTAAATTTGCACTCTTAGTTGTATATATGTTTGTGTTCTTAGCTCTGCCGCTTGCGGCCGAAATACTTGACGCGATGCACAAACTTCAGCTTGGCCCCGTTCTCAATGCCCAGTGCCGTTAGGGTCGCGCGCCCGTTGTCAACGTTGTCATCGATCGGCTGATTGGTATCCACGTTAAACAGTGCAAAGCAGCGCCATAAAAAACGCCAAGAGACAAACGCGCGGTGTTCGTGCCCGTTGCGCAGCGCCGAATTAACTAACTCGCCGCTGGAGCGAGGCAAAACTTTAGCTCCAGCAGATCCCACAACCTGTTGTCGGCTTCCGTCGTCGGCACGGCCGGCGTCGTCTTCGTCTGCCACCCGACGTCGCTCACGTTGTCTTCGTTTCAGCTGAGCGCACGAGATTGTGGCGATTGCCTTTTTCAATTGGGCAACAGTCGGAGAGCGCTGATGGAGCTAAAATGCATAAAGAATGCGGAGAAAGAGAGAGAGAGAGAAGGATAGAGTGAGAAACAGCAAATAGCAGCAACATATAGCATTTTAGAGTATGTGGAGTGTGGTTAGAGTACAGGAAATCTAAGAGCTCTATTTGAAAACAATTAGAAAACTAGCTTTTATAGCATAACGAGATCAAAGCAGGTAATTTAAAAGAACTTTCCATTTATTAATTTATTACTGACTTGGCTTAACAAAAATATAAATTCATTAATTAATAAATAATACATATATTTCTAGAAAATAAAAAGTATATTATTAAGCAAAACAAATATCTAAAATAAATACACCTTTAAGCGTTCATAATACACAACTGCAAAAGAGTAAACAAAGGAATATTCATCCGAAATTTGTTGTTTTTTAAGTCATATACTGAAAAATATATTTTCAAAATTCATATACATATGTAACTCAATTAAGCTAATTGCATATTGTATTTCAAATACCTTTAGTAATAGAAGAGATAATAAAAGATTACGATATATACATTTTTTGATCATTTAATTGAATTCAAAATTACAAGCTTGAGGTATACTAGTGCATGCCATGATGATCTGCTCTAAATAATCTATTGATGGCTGCCCTTTGTTAATATAATTCTGTGTAAACAGACAGCGAAAATTTCCCCAGTTTCTAGATAGAACTTTGAACGACATAGAAATTAATCAAATTGATTGATACGCACCACACAAGCACACACATATACACCTTATACATATGTAAATAATGAATTGAATGGCAAATGAGTGCAAACAGCTGCGAGTTTAACAGAAAAGTCGATTTCGTTTTGAACCAACAACTCACCATGATCTTGAGTGTGCTAAGGCCGTCGCGCTGCACGTAGATGGTTGTGGCACGGTTTTCTGCCTGAGCAATCTGAAATTATGAAATATATACGTATTGCAGTTAACGGCAACACTTAACGGCATCAGCTGCCATAACATTTATGATTCTGGCCATCAATTAGCAACTGCTGCCGGGAGTAGGTCAACCCACTACGAAAGTGACGAAGCATGCTAATTGAGTTGCTATTCAGGCGCAGAACGGTGGCGCTAACAAGTACGCAAATAATGTGACGTCAGGTGTGTAGGTTGCTTTAGGAAAATGCTAATGTGCATCGTTCGAAGGCGATTCACATACCAGACCCAAAAGTTCAGTCGGCGTTGCATCGTAGGGCACGTCCGCCAGTTCCTCGAACTCTGACAGAATCTGTTGCAGCTCGTGTGAGCTTGCTGTAAGCATTGCATTATGCTCAGCGCGCTCAAAGTCGTTTTGTAATCGAGATTTAGTGGACGTTGATTTCCGAAGCCTTCTTTGACTTTTTGTGGGCTGTTGCATTCCCGCCAAGTTTCGTGCCTCTCTTATTGCTTTCTTGCGTAAATTAATTGGCATTCGTTTTAGTCTCCTTGGATTTAACAACATTTTACTTCTTTCCCGATTTGAATCCATTTTATGAATGAAAAGAACGTCTTTCTCGGCCCTTGATATGGTTTGTGTATTAATTGTAATTATTGTTGTATTCTCAAAATATATTTAATCAATTAATTCCAAACTTTGCTTTAAATTTGTAATTTAACCATTCACACGCTGCGTACACAAACAGCTGTTTCGAATTCAGTGTGACCATAGAACCTAACACCTATTAACCCTCTACGCAATTTGCTTAGCAGCGCGCAATTTGGCGTTTTTCTGATCTCATTTCAGCGTTTTAAATTTGTTTTCGAATCTAATTTTCTAGGACGTTTCATTTGGAAACCTGTATATATATATTTATTTTTTTTTAAACAGAACAAACTATCCGTTTTGAAAGTGTCAACTAGTAACCTATGTATAAGTGTTCTATTATATACATTACTTAATAGGGGTTATGGCTTTGTGTTAAGCAGATCGGATGTTTCTTTTTATCAAAATTCAAAATTAATAAGTTACTCAAGTGTGAATTTCAAATATCAAATAATTCCATATATATCAACATCGCCATGTCAAAAGGAAAAGGCCCCCTTTCAAAACTGTATAATGTCATCATAAATTCTGTTGATGTAGTTGTACCGCAGTCCATGCGACCGTTCTGGGAATCCCCGGCAGGTGCGTAATCCCACTAACCAGAGTTAGTTACATTGAATACAATCGAGCTATTTCTCTAAATATCTCTTACCGATTAGGTCCAAAAACTGTTTTCTTCTGGGGCCCCCTTGGCAAATGGGTAAGTGAAGATTAAACAAAACTGTGTTTAAGTGTGGCTAGGATATTTGTATCCTTTCAGGGGTTGGTACTTGCTGGCATTGGAGATCTTGTGAAACGGCCACCCCAAAATGTGTCGCTCAATCAGTCGGGAGTGCTGGCCACAACTGGATTAATTTGGTCCCGATATTCACTTGTTATCATACCCAAAAATTACAGCTTGTTGGCTGTTAATTTGGTTGTATTTTTGACCCAAGGCTTTTTAATCGCCAAGCATTTGAAATGGAGGAGCGAAAATTCGAAACAAGTTGTTTATCAACATCCACGTTCTATTCTTCGCTTTCATGACAGCTCATAACAAGGTTATTTTAATTCTTTTATAATACTCGATAACATTTCATACATTAATAAATAACAAATGCGCCATTCAATAAATTAAGGTCCAAGCATCTGGACTTTTTGGGCATGGCGCAAGAAAATATTGATTTAAAAAACCCAAATAGCTGTAAAAACTGTAGCTGATTCCTATTCATTCATTACAGAATTATTAACTATACGAAACAGTTCGGAGACCATTTTCAAAATTTAAAAAAAAGAAATATATACACATATATACATACTCGTATATACAAGTCGGTGCGGGAAATCTCTCAATTCTACACCATGGACTGATCAATTCAACTGAGCGCATTGTACCTCGGAAGATACGCCTATTGTGGAAGTCACCTGCAGGTGAGCTACGAAAATCGTACAAAAAACTTGATTTTTATATTTATTATTTGCTAGGACAAAGACGGCTTTCTTTTGTGGTTCCTTTGGCAAGTGGGTGAGTATACATAAATCGTTTATATTCTCCTCAATTTACATTGGCGGCTCATTCGTTCTCTAGCTTCTTATAGTAACTGGACTTGCTGATGTCTTCCAACGACCGACACAAAATATTTCCCTCAATCATTCGAGCACATTGGCAGCGAACGGTTCAATCTGGTCCCTCGCCATCATACACAAGAACTATAGCCTGCACCCAGTCAATAAGGCTGTATTTATTACGTAGGCTTTCTTAATTGGCGGCATGCACACTACATGGCAACAGTAAGAACTGGTAGATCAATGTAATAGAGTATAAACAGTAAAACAGTAAAAAATTTGTGGTCTTTTTTTTTTGCGTGCCGCTCGGAAGCTTTACAAGTTTTTATTAATCTTTCTTTTCTTACGCATTTTGCAATCATCATATTTGAAATTCTTAATTAAGTCTACATATATATCATATATTCGTAGATAAGCTATTCACGCCCACGCTAGCTGTTATTGCATAGGCATAAGCTTCGGGCAAATTTACTTAGAATAGCTGAGAGATAAAAACTAAAATCAAAAGAATAATATATATATACAAAATGTTATTTGGCGCTGGGTCCTGGCATCGCTGTGCTAGTTGGCGCCGAATTCTGTTTGGCCAAGGGCGTTGCGCACAAGCTGCGCTCTGATTGGTCGTTCGGGCGCATTTCGTCCGGCCAATGCGTTGCCTGCAAAGAAGGCATCGTTCGTGCAATTGTCTTGCGGCCAACGTTCGCTCCAGCCGGGCTAAAAACGAGCAGCGCAATGCAGTTGGCCAACTGCCTGGGCAAGTCTTGACACACACACACACTGAGACTCACTCACTTACACAGGGACACACACAAGCACAGTCGTAGGAGCATAGTTCTTGCTGTGCCAACAGGCGTATGCGTGATTTATTATCATCGTTTTCCTCATGCGCGTGTGAGCCCAGCAATCGTAGCTCCCTCTCTGTTTCTCATCTTAAACTATGCTTGTGTGCGTGTATGTGTGTACAGTGGTGTTTCTGCATATATGCGTGTGTGTGTGTGTGCGAATTGCTGTCAGCTTTGAGCGTTTGCCAAGTGCATTACTCTGCCTGCCGCCGACTTGAACTTTCAACCGCTGCGCTGCCATTGGCTGGTCAGACCGAGGACAGGCTGCAGCGGCCGTGGCTGCCAATTGGTCAACGAGGCTCCTTTAACGCAGCGCTGCAAAGATAAAGAGAGAGAGAGAGACAACGAGTGTGAGTTAGTTAGGTCGTCGAATGTGTGTAGAAGAAGCAGAGATCTATAGAAAAGTTTTTATGCAAGTAAGGGCTATATTTAATGGAAGAATATAAATATTATTTAATATATGCATATATAATTTTGTATTTATATTTTGTAGTAGTATAACACATATATGCATAGTATTACATATGTATGTAGAAGTGGTTGAATGTAGACAATTTTTTGTTTTAAAGAACTGCATAATATAATATGTGATTGCAAATGAAATGTAAATAACGCTTATCATTAAATGCCGAACTAAAATTGCACATTATTTAATAATTATTTTCTCATATATACCTAATCTTCGAATGCTATATATCACTATATAGCTATCAAACAGAATGGAAAAAATTACAATATGTTTGTTAGAAGACTAGAAGATTAATAGATATTATGTTAGTCCTACAGATCGATTAATTAGTAAATAAAACAATACTTATTCTTAACTTTCTTATAGATTGACTATTTTGCTTTTTTGCATTCATATAGTGCAGCAAAGGTATTGCCGCATCGAATACGTCACGGCTTTTGGACTTCTCAGCCCTCGACTGGCTTGGTAAGGGGCGACAATTGTGGGGGCTGAGGGATGGGGATCTCTCAGGCCAATACGCAACGATGGGAATGGGCGCTTGCCAAGATGATAGCTTGCCAAAATCTCGAAAGATTTTCTCACGCTCGCTTCCAAAGAATCTCAATGGCAATGAACTTTTTTCACTCTCAAGTTCTGTTGTTGCGTAATTTTGCTGCGTACTGCTGAGGAATCTTGGCAGCCGTCCTGGGATTTCCCCAAGCACACACACACACACATGTGTGTCTATAGAGAATGCCTCTACACTGTAATTAAAGCGCCACCTGCCGCGTTGGCGCGTAAACAAATTTGGACTGCATAATTTATGATCATGGAGTTTTGCCAATAAGTTTCTGGATGAGCAGACAAACTGTCTGCCAGCAAATACTGGGCCGACGATCTTGGCTTCCCCACACATACACACTCTCACACGCACACACACGCACACTTAATGACTTCGTCTGGTTATAGTTAACTGAGGTCAGGGCTATTGACGAGTGGGAGCTCGGAACTGTGCTATTGAACAGCTGCCAATTGAGACCACAAGATATTCAAACCAATTCCAGGCGTCACCTCCCATTCGCCAGCAACATCTTAATTATTTCTGATTTATTGAGTCTGGGAAAAGGCAACACTTAGTCCTAATTGCCAATTGAACAGCTGCTCGGCTATGTAGTCCTGTGATTTACGATCGATTATTATTTAATAAAGTGTAGCACAGATAACTAACAGTTAACAGACTGCGCCTTGCACATTACTCATTCGCTGAATGAGCATGCAAGCAAAGTGCTGGCTAAAAATAACAGCGTGTCAAATATGACAGACAACTGTGCTAGCTGGGCGGTCTCTCGGGCATTACGCAAGACAAGTCACAAAGGAAAAGTCTATAGTCTATGGCTGACATCAGGTGCGAACATTTGTGAGCTGTTGTGGCATATGAGCAGATTTCACAGCTGATTTGATTGATGAAAGCGTGTATTTAATGAGATTTTGCAACTTTTATAACTCATTGAGGCTGTAGAGATTTAAGAAAATATAAATATGTATGTTTATGAACTTTTAGTACATACTTTTCAAGCACTACTATATGCGATAGTACTACTTCCAAGCTTATAAATCTCTGTTTTATTAATGTTTACTTAAACCAATCAAGCTTTCATATGCTCCTATAACAAAATATTGTAAGTGTAAACAACTGTCATATCATTTGGAAACCTGAATTTTATAACCAAATCCTCTTTATGTGCTACAAAATTTAACTGTTATATGAATTGTTATATGTGCTGTTAAGTGAACTGTTTTATCAACTGTTATATGAGCTCTAATGTCAGTTATCAGTGTTATAGTATCTGTTATATGAACTATTATATATTAATTGTCATACTAACTTTTATAATATACGGATCGTTTAATTTTGTTAATTTAATAATTAACAATAATATAACAAAAACCGAAACAATTTTAGTTTTTCTTAAATATGTAAAAATTCATCCCGTCATTAAAATGGAAAACCATTTGCTTTACATTTATCTAACATTTGATAATTATTAATAAAACCCAGACAATTTTATTTATTGAAAATACCGCACGTTTCGCATTTTTATCTTATGCATGTATGTGGTATATATATGTATATTTTTTTGTACATAAATTCGTTTAGGTTCTGTGGTCTATATATGTAGCATGTTTCACGGACGACGCAAAAAGTGCCCCATTCTTTGACGTTTTAAACAAATTTGGATTTTTGTATATTTTTTCAACTATTTTTCGTCGCTGCAAATTTGCTTTTATTTATTTTGCTCGGCAGCTGAAAGCGGATTTTTTGTTTTCCCAATTTTCTTGGATGATTTTCTTTGCTCTTTGTTTTACTTTTATGTATTTTGGTTGATTTTCGATTTTCTTATTTGTTTGTAAATTTCTCATTTATCTAGCTATTTTCGGACACACTTGACGGGTTCCGAAGATCGACATGCGAAAGGCAGAAACAAAATTCGAGCAGAAAAAAAAAATTGCGCAGAACTGTCGCCAGAAGGCCCTTATATACCACATAAGTGGTAAATGCCCGCATATATACCCAATATATCTTTTCTATATAAATAGTATTTAGACCGCTCCTGATGCTATATACTGCCCGACCGATCTTCTATCCACAAGGCAAGGCAAGGCAAGGCAGGCGAGCGGCGCAGCGAGGCGATGACGCGCAATTGACGCGGGCAAAGACGCGTTGAAAACGCGCGACTATCGTCGCCGTCGCTTCTATTTTTGTATATCACATAGAGAATCGGACACAGATACAGATACGAATGTATATATATGTATATATATGCATAAATACATATAGAGATGTAGAGACAAAGATTATACAGTTAGAGCAAACGTGCAGTTGTCTGTTTGTATATTTTCGCCTAATCTATTTCAGTGCTTCATCATTTTGTTAGTTTGGTATATTTGTATTTTATTTTTTATTTTTCCTCCGATCCTATGCATGCTGTCTATAGGGCGACAGCGACGATGGCGACGGTAGCACAAATTGTAATTAGTGCTAGTTTCTCTTAGTTTTAATTAGATTTTTTCTCATTTAGCTCGTACACCTTGAAGATGCCAATGCGATGCAGTAAGACAGAAACTGTCAACCGAAAATACGAGAGTTGTTCATTAAATAGATACAAAAAAAAAAAAACATGTATATACATACGTTTAGCTTAGCAACTTAATTAAATTTAATTAATTGCTTTAGTTTTATTATAGAATTAGTTAAAGGACAAGTATATAAACTAGAAAACATACTTGTCTATAAATTGTTGCCAGAATCGATTTGCCATTGTCCAATGAGCAGATACTTATGTAAAAAGCAATTCTATCAACAATTTGTGTAATTCTTTATATGAAAATCTCATCAAAAAAAAAAGGAAATGCTTTTTTTTTTTTTTTTTGTTAAATATAAACAGAAAATATCACTGACTTTTTCTTAATTTATTTTTTTTATAATATAAATTTCATCAAACAATATTTCCTTTAATTCCTTCATAAATAGGTTCTTTAAAAAAATTAAATTAAATAATCGTGTTTCTATATAAAGTAGAATAATAAATTTAATTAGTAAATAAATATATATTTAAAAAAAAAATAGTTAAATAATCGGAAACTTTTAATAATTTTTATAAGTATGCCATTAAACTACAAAGAGCGCAAAACTATTCTTAGATATTTTTCAGAATATGATTAATCGCATTAATTAGCTCACACTGAATACAGATGCACTTATAGCACTTAAGCTAAAATCTTCTTATTTAATTAATTAGTTTTTGCAGACATTTGTACGCGATACTAAAATGTACTAGAATCCCTAAAGCAAAAAAAAAAAAATAAAATAAAAAAATTATTATATGTCATGCAAATGGTTTTTAGGTTTTGTTTATTCGTTGACAGATACATTGTGTGTGTATGTGTGAGTCTGTGTGTGTGTTAGATTGCAGCTGTGGCACACTGAGGCCTGAGGTAAGCTCCAGTTAGGCTAACGGACTTTTAGCGGCACGGCAACTTTCACCAACGACGACGCGTCAACAACTGAGGCAAACGAATGTCAATCAAAACAAATAAACAAATGCGAAAAACAATAAGAACAACAACCACAACTAACAAAGAGCAAATTCTGAGGAAATTGGCAAATAAAACTTAAATATTAACTGCTGCCAAAAAGGCGGACAGCGAACAGTGAGCATTTGCAAGCCAAAAACATAAAATTTGCCTGAATATTGGCCAATAAATTTTACAAGTCGCTGACGATGGCCAACAATTTTCTCTTGGTCAAGGTCGAGCCAATCAAAGCGTCATTACATATAAATATATATTTATATAAATACTCTTGTATGTATGTATATACATATTTAGCAAATACTTATAATCATAATCGTGATAATTGGAAACCTGTTGCCAAAGCCAAATGCCGTTGGCCAATAAACGATCAGGCACAACAACAACTGATGACGTTGTCAAACTGGGCAACTCGTCAAAAAACCACCAACTGTGTGTGTGTGTGTGTGTGTGTCAGCAATTAAAATCATAATGAGAGTGCCAAGTGGCGCCTCCCGCCCAACAGTGGCCAGCGGCCAACTCGACGCGAGCCTCTCACATTCCACACACACACACACACTCGTACACAGGATGCGTTGCTGCCAAGTTGGCAGGCAGACGCAGCTGCGTCTATGTTTATGTTTTGTTGCTGCTGCTGTCTTCCAGTTGCTGGCTGGCAATGTGTGCCAAATTTGCTGAGCAGGAAGTGAGAATGTCTTGGAGCTGTACCAAGAAAATTGCTGCAGCAGACTTGTAGGCGCTGCACATTGCAGACGGAGCGTGCTAGATGGATGCGACAGCAGGGCGTATACGCAATGTTAGCCTCAAATTATGTATACGCCATGGCAGCCACCAAACTCATGCATAACAAATAGATAACCAAGTATCGTCATCATTATACAAAAATAAAGGAAAAAATTATCAAAATAAGAAAAAAGTATTTTGTAAAAAAAAAAATAGAAAGCCAAAGTCAAGTTCCCTTTTTGGTCATCAAAGGCTCGCCGCGCCGCACTAATAAGTTTTCAAGAAAATGAAAAATCGTTTGTGCATTTTTCTAAGTGCAAAAATATGCAAATCGAGTAAATCATTATGACTGGACAATGGCAGCGCAGCAGACAAAGTTTTACTGAAGCGCCGCATAAAAATTATTTCGGATGGCAGGCAGGCTGAAGGCTAAAGCCAAAGGCGACAGCAGACAGACGACTGGAGGCAGGATAAGAGACAGGAGGCATAGGACCGAATAATAATTTGGCGATTTATTTGTTTGTTTGTTTTATTTGCCATGTCTACGCCAACGAAAATTATGGCAACTGACTTTTGCACCCAAAACATAATTTCAACAGACAATGCGAATGGCACTTGCTGGCTCTGATGACGAGGCCGGGGCCACGGCAATTGCATATCAGTCAAAAGCAATGAGGAGCTTTAAGTATTGGTGAATTACAACGAAATTAATGATAAGAACCTAGAATACATATATAAATATTATACATGATAAATACGTGCAAGTTTTATATTAATTTTACGTTTCTTTATCTAACTCATTAAGTGATTAACTTTCAGTATAGAAGATTTGCAATATTCCATTTATACCGCATCTGATTCATCTATGGCAAAGTGTAGATGAATCATAAAGATAACTTAATGAGAGTATAACAAGAAAAAACTATAAGATACATAGGTACTATAAGATAAATAACTATAAGATACATAGGAGTAGAGACAGCATATATGTATATGGAAATGTAAAATAAATTGATCTATATTTATAGTCCTTACTAAACTTATTTTCCATTTGTATGCAATCTGTTATTCCATTTTACTAGACTTCTATTTTCCTATCTTTCATTTTTATTATCACTATGATCCTCATGTGATTATCTATATTTTTCATCTATACTAACTTTATATATATAAAAAAAAAAATCCATATTCTATCGATAATCATCTTTATATTATTTATAATATATAAAATAAAATAATAGTCCGGGGAACCCAGAAATGATGTCCCTATATGTAATGAACTCCTACCATAGCGATTATTAATGTAAGAAAAAGACTATTTCTAGCTTTAGTATAACTTATTTCCAGATCTACGAAGTCATTTATTGATTTATATTCGATATTTAAGCATAACCCTAAGTTTACATGTAAATAGGCCAAGAACCTTTAATCACGTTTTCTCTTAAAGCTTTGCCCATTCAATCCGTTCGCAGACAGAGCAGAAATTTACATTAAGCCTGCCTAAGCACCATAAACCTGAAATTCGCTTCAGTTGTATTCAGATGGCCATTCTCAGAGGAGTCGTTTATTTACAACTATTTGTCACATTGCATGTTCTTTGAGGCATTTCTTTTTTTCTCGGGCGATTCAATTAGTTTTAATTGCTTGTCGTCGCGCGTTGCCTTCGATTTATTTAAAAATGCGACCGGCTGCCATCAATAAAATCAATGCGGGCCATAAATCTCTGGGCCGTTCATTGAAACGTGCTCAAATGCAAACGGTACAGTATCTCTCCTTTGTCTTTTTTTTTCTGTTGGCCTGTATGATAAGGACTGGCAAAAGGAAGTGTGAACTCTTGCCGGGGCTGACCAGCAGCCATTGTTTGCTAGCCGAAGACTGCAATGCAAACATATGCAGGCAGTCAAGAGGAAAGGACACAATGCGCTCGCTGCTTGGCTTAGTTGCCAATTTCCGGCTAATGCTGGACGGGGTGCGGTGGGGTTTGAGGAGTGGGGTGGGTGCGTAGAGCAGACGGGGCCAAGAATTATTTGCCAGGATGTCCGAAACATTGTTGGTGTCAACAAATTCCTTTTCAGCGAATGCCAACAGCTAACAAAAAAAAAAAAAAAAAAACGTTCTACTATTGCCAAAAAAATAAAGCGAAAAAGAAATGTGAAAAAAATCGAAAATTAATGCGCAAGCATTAAGAAACGAACTGTCCAAGCTTCTGCCCGCCGCATTCCGTTTGTCCTGCCGATGTCCTTTTTGCATATCTCGCGCACAATTAAATTTCGTGTTAGTTTTGAGGAACTTTTAGCTCCAACAGCTCCTTTGGGCTAATTTACTGAGTGCAGTCCGCTGTTGTTAATTGCTTTAATGGCTCGGAAATTTCTAGACAGAGCAATGCAAGTAACGACGTGGAATACTCGACGAGCAGATACCTTGGAATGTTCACAAAATTTATAATTTCATTGAAAAAGTTGTTTTTGTATATCTTAAGTAAATTTGCAGGATATATGAGAGATATACACCTTACACATATACATCTGTTGATAGCTACGATAATATCGAAACCATTATAAGCAATCAGCAATAATTTAGTATTAGCTATTCTTATCATGCCAAATACCTTCAGCCCATTCAGCCTTTATATGAAAATCAAAACAACTCATTTATCATATTTACAGGGTATCCAAGACATGTATAAGTTTTTCAGTCCGTTTCTAATTGAAAGTGATCCGCAGTTGCGCTCATAAATTCAAACATTAAAATTTGAAAAACAAGCGCATGTTCGAGTATTTAAAAATATTAATTGGTCTGCATTTGATTTACTCTTTAGATGTTTCCTTTGTTGAACACTGACCATGAATTAATGACTTTCACGTGGAGTCTCACTTGGCATAGGGTTACAGTTTTGGTACTCTCTGGGAGGCACTTGTTGGGGTTCTGGACCATATATAATAATTTTTTATGTCTGTGCACTCTGCGGCGGCGTCTGTGCACTGAACCAGCACCACAGTGGATAAGTGTAGCTATTAGGTAAGGGTGAAATCAATGGCTAATACTCTGTCTTTTCTCTCTCTCTCTCTCTCTCTCACCCACTCTCTCTCTCTCTTGTTATGAACCCTCAATAAAATACAAGTAGCGGCCTTGAGCATCCACTGGGAGGGCGTGCATTGTGCAGAGCCTATAAATTGTATGTCTTAAGCGTAACTCTTACGCCTACCCCACCAACCGATGTCCCCCCTCTTGCCATATGACGCATTTAACATGTCATTTTGTGCTGCATTTTGCTTATTTATGTGGCGCCAGACTGTTGGCTTTTGCCACTTGCCAACTTGGCTTAGATGCGAGTAGATGCTCGGAGGGTGAAGCAGGGTAGCACTCTAAGGACATTTGTGGGCTGATCTTATTGTGGTGACAGCTGCGAGCATAAAGGTGGTCTATACTATGTTGATTTACTATGATAGGCTTTCAATAAGCGTTTTTAAAAGTCCACAGGTTTGTGAAATATAACTTAAATTTAATATTCTACTGCTTTTAATTCAATTTTTGTTTTGTTTTTATTACATAAGAATATTCCTCAATAAAATCAAAATCAAATCTAATTTTTCTTACATTTTTATAGATGCGGTGAACAAGTATTGAAGGACTAGTAGTAGTACTTAAAATACAATTTCAGATATTTTTTATATAAAAAAAAGTAAAGAAATTATAAAGTCCTGTTTTTAATAAAATAAATAGATCTTATTAATTTTTGAGCAGACCAACTGAGCAATAAAAGTTGTATTTGCATATAGAAAATATATTAGGCTAAAGTCAGACCAACAACCCGAGTTGAAGAAATGAAATATAAGTAAAACGAATCTTGGTCGAGCTAATAAATTATATATAAGACTGTGACGAGTGGTATGGTATGTTAATGAGAAATAACAGTCGATTCAGTTGAGTCCTATCTGAGTATATGTAGAAAGATCTTGACTTCAGAAATATTTTAATATCCTATATATTTATATAATAAATACTTTAAGCTAAAGTCCTTTTCATGTATATATTCATCATTCCTATTCATATCATATATATAAATATACTTACCATTTTGACACTCTATGAACCGCTCAGTTATCCTCCTGCCTCTGCTCCTCCTCTTCCTGCTGTTGCTTTCAACGAATCCTCTCGCAGCGATGCACAAAAGCCACGCAGATAATTTCATTGATTTATATATAAATTGTCTACGAGTGCTGTCAGTTACCAATTAGTACCAATATTAATTGTATGTATAAATATATACATAACGATTAATTATTTATGTATAGATATTGCACTAATGTTTATATAATGTGTTGGGTTATATCATAGTTGCTTGTAATTGATTATATAATTGGCATAGACGCTACGTTGGCTACTATATATTCTTGTTATTGATTATTTATTTTAATTTTAGTGTTTAATATTTGAAATATTGTTTATAAGTTTAAGCACTAGTCACTACGTAAGAGTTGAATATTGAATAATTGTAGTATTTTAAGTTTTTGAGTTACACGCGGCGTATGCTTGATATTCGTAGCTACCTCTGCGCGTGATGCGCATCCTTTGAGGTTTCGCACGCGTTTGGTTTGCGCCAAAATTTCATTGCGGACATCGCTGACATCGCAAATCATTAGCGGCCAGCTAAAACAAAGCTTGCTGTTGTTGCAGCAGCAATTGTTGCTGCTGTTGTTACTGCTGCTGCTGCTGCTGCTGCTGTTGCTGCTGGCTCTGCACTTTTTTTCTGGGCTTCACGCCAGTTGCTCCATTGGCGCACCTCGTTTTTTGGCACTGGCCACAAAGTTGACGGCGCACGTTGGTCAGCTCAAAAGGTTCTCACACACACACACACACACACACACACGCACGCACACACACACGTATACAGCACAGCGCGTTTGGTTGTTGTTGCTGCGGCGCGACACGTTTTTATTTGTTTTTGTTGTTGTTATTGTTTTTTTTTTTTTTTTAAGCTGTATAATCGAGACGAACGCATCCTGCGAAGCTGTTGCTGCTGCTCCACTGCACCACTGTGCCAATCCATGTGTGTGTGTGTGGGGTGTGTACGAGTGTGTCTGTGCCTGTCAATTGGCGTCCATTGCGGCGATCTTGGCCAGGGTCAAACCACTGTTTGAGTTGGCTAATCAAACTGCGTTTGCGGCCAAAAAATATATTCCTTCACTGTCATCCTGCACTGCTTTGGCAACGTCTGTTGGCGCGTACTCATCATCATCTTGGACCTTTACCATCACCACCTCTTGGCCAGTAATTGCTGTTGTTGGCTGGCTGATTCGCTGGCTCGCTGGTACGGTGGCTGGCTGGCTGACTGACTGGTTGGCTGGCCACTTTTCTTGGCTGGCTACGCGTCGCTCAAAAGTCAAAGCCAAAGCCAATCCAAAGCACTGCCCCGTGCCCTATGGCCAACAGACACACACAACATTCGTGGCACTGGCAGAGCCGGTGACTGTGCCAGCTGCCCAGCTGCCAGCTGCCAGCCTTTTGTTGGCTCGCAACACCGACGCTACCAGTTTCTTCGCCAACTGACTGACGACTGCTCGCAGTCAGCCAGCAGCAGCAGCAGCAGCCCTCAGCCGGCAGCAGTCGACGTTGTCGTTGTCGTTGCCGTTGCCGTTGCTGCTGCCGTTGCTGCTGCTGCTGCCGTTGTCGTCGCTGCTGCCTTTTTGTGTCGTCATCGTCGCCGCCTACCACAGACAACGTATCGCCTGCCCTGCCCCGTCCTCCCCTCTCATGCATGCTGCGCCTTTGTCGCGTGCAATTCCAACTGGCTGCGCTCCAAGCGAATTCGCCTCCTCCCCCTCCACGGCACCTGCAACTCGTTTGGCCATCGTCTGGCTTCGGTCGCTGCCGCGTCGCGTCGTGCTCTGCTGCATGTTCGGTTCTCATGCTGCGTTCTGCTCTCTTCGCTCTCTGCTTTCAGCATTTTCCTCTTTTCATTCCGAGTACGCATAGAACAGCTAAATTTTCAGAATTCTGCTTTTCACATGTGCAGCTCACTTTTTTAACCGCGCAAAAATCTTTCGCTGGGCATAGAAAATTTATGACAGCATCTGCCGGCCAGGGGAAACGAATTAGGTTTCTTCCTATAGCAAGCGAAAGAACCCCGAGTCTTTAAATAATGTTGCAATAAACCAAACTATAAACAATTAAGACACGTTTAGCACTTAAAAAGTTTAATATTTCTACACTATATCATTTTTACATTGTAAATAAATGGCTTGGTCAAACAGATAGAAGAGCGGCAATACTCTTTTCTTATCAATTTATAATATGTAGAATAAAATATTTTATATTTATTAGATTTTAAAAAATAATATTTGTAAGTTGTTAGGATTTTCGCTTTTTTAAGTACAATATTTGAGATATTTTTATTTGAAGGTACTTTATTAAGATTTTTTTAGGGTTTTATTTTATTATTTCTTGTAGATTAAGTGATTTTGTTTTAGATAATTGTATGGATGGATTTAAGAGTATTTACCAAATTTATAGATTTTCTAATGAGTTAAGATGCTTCTAGCTGCAAAAAGTCATTAATGAGCTTGAATTGTTCTAGAAATAATTCATCATATGGGAATTTTGAATATAAACAAAAGAAAATTGATATCAGAATAAGTAAACATCGAACACAGAGCGTTTAATAAATCAAGACATCTTGTTCGAAAAAAATGCATATTATAGATTCCGATTTGTTCTCTAAGTAAACTAGTAAACTACTTAAAGTGATACACCACAATACAATTTTACTCAATTACAATAAATTTATTATAATTTAAAAAAAAAAAAACAAATTTTGTAAGCCAAACTATTTTTACAGCCATTAAAAAGTAAATAAACAGAAATCTTATCCACCTAAGAGCACGTAGCCCAAGATAGAATTACTTGGGCGTTTGGCACACGAAACAAATAAGTTAAGTAAATGCCGTAAGAGCTCTATCTCAATGACAATCTTAAGTAGATTTTGTCTGTGACAATTATGAATATACTCGAATATGCATGGCGGAACATCCGCAGAGAAATATCTATAAAAATAGATAAATGAACTTTATAAAGCAATACATGTGTAAGTGTATGTGCCTGTGTGTGTGTGTGTGTGTGTGCGTGTGTATTTTGCCTTTCGACAAAATCATAAACGCTGACATAAAATTAGAATTTAAATGAGGCAGTAAAATGCTTACAAAGGAGCAACCAAAAGCTTAATGAAATGCAAATGGTCAACAGGTTCGCAACGGCAGCATCCGATGCCAATCAGAGTAAGTAAGGAGGTGGACTTCATGCCCTTCACCCTTCACGCATCACCAGGACACTGTGGATACTTTGTGTGAGTTATGAAATCGCGTGGCGCCAGTATAAAAATTTTATGCAATTGCATAAAATGTGCAGAGCAGAAAAATATGCAATGCCCTAATAAATTTCTAATAAATGCATGTTAAATAAAAGCCACAATGTAGCCAGTGAGCGAGGGCGGGTGTGGGACAAGAAGGCGTGTTAATTGAGCCTCGATTATGTGGCTATTAATGGGAGTTAGTTAACAGGCGAACTGTGCAAAAACTGTTACAACACTCACACACACACACACACACATGCGTGTGTTGACCGCAGCCCGCAGCAGCACGTGCTGCCGCTAGACAAACAAGCATGCCCCTGCCACACACCTGCTGGCCTCACCCCCGCCTCTGCCTCCCCTTGGGGTCATCCTGTTGTGTTGCTGCCTGTGCTACAGACTGCTGCGCTGTTGCTGTTGCTGTCGCCGTTGCTTCCGCACCAGCTAAACGTTTATTTATAGCCCAAAAACAGCGCAAAAAGGATCAAAACACACACACGCACACACACACACACACACACACAGCGCCACTTTAGCTAGACAAAGGCCACGCCAAAGATAAACATACGATTCGAAATTTTTTAGGGCTTGAGTAACAGCCACAAACGTTGTTGGCAACGCTTTGCTGCCGCTCTTCACTGGGCAGCAGCTAAAGGGGTTTTCCTTTCTATTTTCTTTTTTTGCTGCTGCTGGGATGCTGTACACATCTTGATTTTTGCCAAACAAAACATTGCTCGAACACTCGAGCTTTGGCTATTGCCTTGGCTATAACTGTATTTACTTATGTTAGTCACGTGGCTTTCACTTGGTTGGCCAAATTGCCGGACAGCAGCAGGGCCACAATGGGGTGGAAGAAAAACAACTATGAAATCATTTTGAGTGCGTTCTATAGAATAAAAGAAAGATACTCGAAAAGCCACAGCAAGGATATATCGATATATGAAAATGGAAATATAACAATACATATTAAATATTTAAAAAATATATCTATTAAAAAATATGTAAAAATACAAAAATATATACTTTTCTAAATTGAAAGAATACATTAAAAATAAGTTTAAAGAAAATAATAAAAAAAAAAAACAATTAATTTAATTAACAACATTACAAAAAATGTAAGAGTAGAAAAAAAATAAAATAAAGTAATACTTATAAAAATAAAAAAAAAATTATATAAAAAGAATCAAAGAAACAAGTGAGGAGGCTCTAGAGTCTGACAAACAATAGCTCTTAAAAGCTAGGATTTATTATTAGAATTATATATTTATATAAAGAGCAGAAAAAAGCTTGATTATACCGAACATAACGAATGAGCTGCCATCCGAAGTCTTAGTTGATGTAAACCCTCTACAACTATTTTTGATAATTTACATTTACTTTAATCATTCACTCTCTGTTTGCTAAGTGCATAATCCCTATTCTAAATTTTATGATATCATCGACTCTTATCTCCGGCGCATTTTTTGTCCAGCGCATAGGAAGCGGAAATCCTTTTGTTTTTGCTGCCACAGTTAAATTGGTCGCTTTCTAATCGCCTTCCTGGAAATTAGCTTCAAATTAGCTTCAAGTCCTTTTTTGGTTTTTGTCTGAAGTGCGACGAGTTGGTAATTTCCGCAGGCGTGCACACACTTCTACACACACACGTGCACACTCACACACACATATTATCGACAAGTTTTCAGGTCATTAAGTTTGTCGACAACTTTTGGCAGGAACCAGAGGAACAGAGACACAGAGAGCAAACTCTTGCTAAAGAAAAGGTGCGAATTAACCTAAACTCGTGGAAATGCCAATAGAAAAACAATAGAAAATTCAAGTGCTTTCAAGAGTTGAGGCAATTAAAGCTAAAAATTAAATAAGTATAAATTTGTATATATCTATATATATATGTATATATTTATTTGATTTTTGCGCTTCTTTTGGAAGGGAGAAGCAATTTAATGCACATATGCTAAGATTTATGTGTTTTGTTGGATTCGCTTGGCCAAAAAGCAAAAACAAAGAGACATTTTATTTTGTACAACAATTTTTTGTTTCTTGGAGAGCTTGAGTTGCGGCAGAGTTGGGGCAGCTGCGTCTGCCAGCCAGCCATAAAGAAATGCTCATACACTCTTAATACCCTAACCTTGGCGGCATAATAAAAACTCTTTGGAGTTCGATTTGGGTGTGCATAAGATATATGTTTTATATAATAATAATAATAAAATAATAATAATAATGATAATATAACAAAAGTTCGCTGAGGCTCATTTATTTATCTATCATTTATTTATTTTAGAAAAATTATTCTAGTCTTTAAAAGGTTTGAAAGTTTCTTGTTGAAATGAAGTCATATAATATTACACTAAGAAGTCTTATAAATAAATAGGAATAATAATATAAATAGTAATTAAGTCTAAATCATATATTAAAAAAAAAGAATATAAATGAATTTCCAAAATATGAAAAATAAAATTTGAATTATAATTAATTAATTTACTGTACAATTGAAATTGTTCTGTTTAAAATAAGAAATTGAATTCATATTCATAGTAAATATCCAAGGTTTTACATGTCGGCAGGTTGCTTGTATATCTAGTTCAAGAGCCTCCGAGTTCTATCAGGCTCGACTGCAACTTGCTCAGTTGTAGCCATTAGAGATGTTTTACTGTGAGATCTACAACTGCAAAGTGGGAGAGTGTCGATCTACAACTCCTGCTGCTGATTCAGCCGAAAAGCTCTTTAATATAATTTGTATATAATACTCTATATATATAATGCTCTCTACCTTAAGTATGAACGGTATTTAAGAGTAATAAATATGCGACCTGCCTCTACCAAATTTCTCCGCCTTGTTAGGTATGTAACATATACATAAATACATTCATATATGTATATAGATGCTGTCATGCTGTGCACTGCTCTGGCATTTGAATGCATGAAATTGTTTTTGTCGCGTTTTCCGTTTCTCCTTTGTTGTATGTGTGTGTGTGTGGAGTCATCCTGGCATTGGAAAGGATGTGAATACTGTTACCACATATTTCGCCCACTTGGCCGGGCCTGTCAAGAGGGCAGCCGATTTTTTGGCCTGGCCAACGCGACGAGACGCGACGGTCGACGCGCTCTGCCGGCATCGCGATAGCGCCAGTCAACTCTCCTGGAGCTCCACTCAAATATCGGCCAATGCGTCAAGGAATGCCCGTTGATAGAAGAAGAAGAAGCCAAGCACAGTATGCAACACGCAACACGCCACATGCATATTAATTTCGCTGTCTTGGACTCCGACTCCAATCCAGCATGGGATGGTCGACTGTCGGGTGGTTGGGCCAGTGCTTCAGCCATCGACTGCATCTGCATGCAGAATGCGTTGTTTATGGCGAAAAACTAAACAGCATTTTGCATTCAGTGTGCAATGCCTAGCTCTAACAATTGTTGTTGTTGTTGTTGCTGCTGTTGATTGATCAGCAAATTGAAAAATCAGGGCAAACTTCAGTTGCCTATGCAAATTGTGAAAGTTGAACCAAGTAGCAACGACATTCACAATGTTGCCAATTGCATTGATGTGGCAGCCAACTGAACTAAGCCAAACGAGCGAACTAGCTGGTAAATAGACTCACATAAAACGCTTGATTAATGCAAATCCTGTTATCGACAGATTTATGAGAAAGTGTTTTTTTTTTTTAGTTTAATAAAAAAAATTAAAAAGTATTTGATTCAAATCTGGGACTTATAAAATGTGAAACCTATATACTCCCAATCGCCCTGGCCTTACCCACTCAGAGTTCAGTTGAGGCAGTGCCCCATTTGCTGGCGACATGTTTGAAACAGGTGTAGACGCCAGCTATATCCATTACCTATGCTATTTACGGCACGCGCTTGCTGAGTTGGCCAAAAATAGAAGTTCTCTGCGTAGCAGCTGAAGTTTGAAGCGAATGGCAGCCAGCAGTTAAATAGATGACAACTTAAGAGGCAGATGCACTCACACTCACTCTCAATCACACTCACACTCAGTCACACTCACACTCAGCTGCACTTTGGACACGCTTGTGTCAGGAGTCAACGCTCTTCAATAGCTCCATTACCGTTGCTCGGGTTATGGCCAAGCCGCAACATTGCGACACAAAAAACACTTGAACGAGCAGCCGCAGCAGCCAGAGCCGGAGTCAGACCCAGAGCCGGAGCCGGAGCAGCACTTTTTTGTTTGAGTTATTTTACGAGTTTTATTGGCTTTTATTGGCAACGAGATTTGAATTTTTCAAAACGACACTTGCGCTGCAGAGGCGAAAGGCTTCAGCTGCCTCGACTACTCCGACTACTCCTCTTGCTGCTGCTCTTCCTCTTCCTCCTGCGGGGTCGTCCTAATCGCTTTGCTGTTGCTGCCCTGTCGTGCTGTTAGTCATTTTTTATTACCTTCACTCTGACTGTGTATCGCCTCTCGTTTGCTGCCTGCAGGTCTAACAGGTGTCGTTCTCTCCTCTCCTCCGCACTCCCCCACACATCCCTCTGGCCAGACCATATGTGCTCTGGCCGTTTCTGTGATTTCTGGCCACATAACTTACCGCTGATTGCAGTTTTATGGTCAAAGTTTTTGGCGACATTTATAGACAACGATAACGTAGAAACTGCTAATTAACTTGGACATAAAACGCTTAAGCCTTTACCCGGCCCTGCTCTGGCCTGGCCTACTCAACAATCAGAAAAACTGCAAAAAAAAGAAAGAGATGAACTCAATTCGCGGCTGCCATTCAAAGTGTGCTGCATAATGGCAGCCGCAGACAGACAACTTGCTAATTTTCATGCGCCATTTACGGGACGAAATCTGGCGAGGATTTGCCACCCACTTGCCAGCAGGCAAAGTGGGAATACCCTGCATTTGGAAAGTGAGGGATTACAAACAATATAACGGCTGATAATCAGACCTATAATGGGATATTAAACATTAAATATTTATTTAAAAATATTTGTTTAAATTAAAACACCAATGAACCAACAACAATTTTTATTTTTACATGTTCGCCAAAAAAAATTTTTCAAATAATATGAGAAGAAAATTTACACAGCTCAAACTTTTGTTCGACATTTATAATAAATTTTTGTTTATAATAAAAATAAAACCGATTTTCGCTCAATTCGGAGTATTCGTTGAGAATAAAATATTTGTTAATTTTCAAAACATGTCTTGAGCTTACTTAACTTCAATACCATTAACTATGTTTTGCTTAAAACACAGGGGATTGCCTAGTCGACCAGTTTGGAAATCCAACTAACTCCTGTTTTTCCTGTCGCATCACGAATTCACTTGAGAACTCTTTTATTATTTTTTGCTCCCCTTTTCTTTTTGTTCCTTTTTTGCTGCATCAGATTGTCAGCCTCCTTTGGACTACTTAAAATTCAGTGGATGACATAAACATCCTTAAGTAACCCAGTCAACAATGCCAAATGCGCTTTAACGATATGTCAGAGATTAGAGCGCTAAAAATGCTAAAGCAATTAATTTACAACATTTTGGCAGGATGAGCAAGGCGAGAAGAGAAGAGGAGATAAGAGAAGGTTGTTTCTTGTTTTTGGCTGCAATTTTATATTAAGCTGTGTTCTCAAAAACGTAAACTATACGTAAACGTAAACTAAATTTGAAAATAATTGATGATATCTATATCTATAGCTAGATTTAATTGAGAGGTTTTAGTCAGAGTTTTTAGTGTATAAATAAATTTCTATACAGATGCAATAATAAAAATACAAATTATATATTATTTATATTATTCTTAAAGCGAATTCATTTTAGAGAACATTGATATGAATTCAATTTTCTCTATTTTTCTCATTAAATGCAATAATAACCACAATAAAATGTTATAAAAATGAGTATTGCCTGGAAATCCTCAAGCATATATATATCCCATAATAAAGGCAGCCAGCGGCAAAGGCAACAAAGCAAACAATAATTTCCCCCATATATACAATAAGAAGTATAGCCAAGTATGGCTGGAGTCAAGGCGGCTACAGGATATAGTGCAGAGTGTGTTTGTATTTATATGTGTGGGCGATTTCAAGGCAGAAACGGATGTACAAATTGCAAAACATAATTCAAATTGTTTGACTCCGTTTTTTTTTTTTTTTTTTTTTTTTTTTTGACAATGACTGCGCCAGTTCCACTGATATTTTGGCAAGTGCTTTTATCTTGGCATATGCATGTCCATGTCTATGTGTGTGCAAGTGTGTGTGTGTATTTGTACTGAGATGAGTTGGGCCAGCCAGCCAGAATTTTATCTGTTTGCTTAAGCTGCAGTCAGCTGAGCGCGCCTTTAAAGGTTATTAACGGGCATTGTGCTACGTGGCGTATGAGTAACATTAATTAGCTGAAACTGCCAGGCGAAGTGCGCTTAAAAAGCAATTAAATGTGCTTAGCATAAGTTGCCAAAATATTTTGCATGCATTTGGTCGGAGCTTCAAAATCCATCGCATACTCTCAGGCGGCGCCCCCAATCGAATTTTTAGGGCTAGCTGGATTTTTAGCTGCCTTTCTAGCCTTTTTCTTTTGGCTCACACACTCTCAAGCAGCGCGCCATTTGACTTAATTAGTTGGCTGACGCCACTGCTGTCGACGCCCACTTTAGCTGTGCAGGCGGACAGTCGGGCAGGCGGGGGCGTGGCTGTTGCGGAAAAACTATGAATTTATTTGACACTTGAATAAATGCGGTTTTTGCGGCCACAACGAAAAATGTCAGCCCATATTTTTCGGCTGGCAGCAAACCCTCTCTCTGTCTATCACCATCGCCCATCGACAGAGAGCTCTGCCCAGGCGGTAAACGTTGCTCCGTATTGATATATAACCCATGTCTTGCATGTTCTTGTGCTTGGTGTACTTCATGTTCGATTCACAGCGCCGCGTCGTATATTTCCGTTTCCTGATTTTCTTAGGCCAAAGCCTGGCCACACACACACACACACCCTCACACACATTCATACACACGTGCATATGTGTGCCGTATACTTAGCGTTTTGCAAAATCCCATTTTTGCTGTCTAATTTATGAATGTAAGCGCTAAGTATGCGCTCATGCCAGTAATTGTGATATGTGTAAGTGCATTTGGCTGGCAGAGACAGCGCCGAAAGCCAAAGCCCCAACCACAAGCCGAAGGCGCCAAGCGAAAGGCCATGATGTCATTTGCCTCAAATTTGGAGCTGTTCATTTTTGGGATTAGATTCATTTTAATTTGAGTAAAGAGATAGTTAGAGACAGGAAAAAAAAATCAAATTTTAATATTGTAGTTATAAATTAGAGATCATATTTTCCATCAAGGAACAGACGTGGCTGCTGCCTATGCCATTGAATAATTGTAAATAATAATGTACATACCTTTATAAAACATACATAATATACATATTCTCCTTTCGATTTAACTATGCGTGTTGGCTCGTAGGCTTGTCTGTAAATCTGACTCTCCTTTTGCCTTCACTTCTATCTCACGCTCTGTCTCTTCATTTGTATCTCTGTCGACTGCCTAAGAGATCAGAAGATCATTTAAGTTGTCTATGTGTATGAATCGGTATATGAGTAAACGAAGCTAGAATGCTTGCAGCGGCAGAGAGTGCTCCCATTGGTCACTTAAAGCTCGGCTGCGACGACCTCTACCTGTCGTTGGGCTTAACATTTGAGAGCGACTTAGTGCTTGAGTGAAAGTCGCTCTATATAAAGAGCAGCAGCTGGAGCATTTCTTCAGTCGTGGGCGACCCCAGGCCTAGTCAGTCGTGCACTGCAGTACACTGATGTGTGTGATTGTTCAGCTGAGCATTAAAAACGTAGAGAAAATACTTAGAGAATATAAATGGAGAATATACATATAGGAAGTACTTAGAGGAGCGACACGGACAACTCTAGGAAATAAGTTATACATGTAACATGCACATATATATGTACATACATATATTTATTACGAAGGCATGGAAAATATATACTTTAAGCTATATAATGACTACCTTCTTATCTATCTGTTGTTAGATTATGAATTCCAAACAATAAAAATATAAAAATATTTAATGAAATATGATGTAAAACCTGATATAAAAAATTACTTTTACCGCGTTTTTATGTGTAATATTTCAAAATGTTTTCGCTCCTCCACATTAAAACTAAGTTGGCAGCACTACTCTCAACTCTTCGAGTGAAATGTCAAGGGGTATCGATATTATTTAACGATACCAGTTTCGATTGCTTGCCCGTTTCAAATAAACACGTGCGCCTGGTGAACGTGTTTTTGTTTAAGGCGTAGCTTAACATTTATTTTGTTAACTATGGAAGTAGCAGAGCTGGAAATGGCGCCAGGTAACAGTTCGGAGACAACAACAGTTACCAATGAGGTAACAATGACAGCAGTGGCCACAAATGCGAGCATCGCTACAGAAACTGTGCCAGCAACAGCAGATGCAACCACTATCGAAGTGAGTACCAAAAATGATTCAACAGCAGTTGTTAGTGAATCAAGCCAAACTGAAGCGACAGCAAGTGTACACAAAGAGAATGAAACAGCGATGGCAACTAATCAGGAGCAAGAGCAGACACAAACAGGTAGATTTAGATATCCTATAAAAGTGCGCATAACAATGTGAATGTTATGTTTTTAGATTGTGCTTCACCTGCAAAAACTGCAGAACCCACCCAAGTCGAAGCAGAGCTGAACAGTGGAGAAATAGCTGTTAATTCTTCAGTGAACCAGACTACCACGAAGATTTCCACAAATGTTGCTAGTCCTGAAGAGAAAATATCAACCTCGGCAAAATCAGCAGAAACAGGGCAGAGCATCGAGCCAGTAAATGCTTCAAATTCTCAAGTGGAAGAGAACAACTGTCCGTCTACCGGAGCTGAAGCAGAGCTAAGCAACGCGACAATCAATGTCAATCCAAGAGTGGAACAAGAAACCGTCAGCGATGTGGTGGTTGAACCAAAGGTAAACCACGAGGCTAGTTCTCAAGGAGAACTTGGTGCTGCTGTTAGTGCAATGGACTGTGAAACCTCGCCAACAAATGAAGGTTTAACTCCATCAGTGAAACAAACAAATGGCTTAAGTTTACTCTCTGGCTATGGCTCTGATATGGACTCAGACGTGGAAGAGCCACAACCAATAGCAGACAGCGATAATGATGATATTGTGGAAGTACCAGTAACGGGACCCTCTAGTATGCGTCGTCAAGTTGTGGCCGTCAGCTCGAGCAGCGACAGCAGTAGCGAATCAAACTCCGATTCGGAGGCAGAATATCTAACAGTATTGCGCAAGAAAATAGATAAACGCATAAATACCGATGATTGTGATGACGATGACGATGAGGATTTGGAAGATGATTCGAAGCCGCGCCGGCGTCAGCCGCCGAGAGTGCGTGGCGAGATGTTACTGGATGACCTACCTCCAATTGAACAGCTTGAGATAACCGTTCCGGAGGACGAATGCATTGAGCTGGGCAAAGTGCAATCTATAGTGGATCAATTAGTTTTAGTCAGTGTCCTGCCCAACTCAATGCTGTTCGATTTGGACACTGTGCTCTTCCTGGAGAAGGGACGCAAAGTACTTGGCCAGGTCTTCGATGTGCTCGGCCAGGTGGCCGATCCACTCTACTGCGTTCGCTTCAATTCCAATCAGCAGATCAAGGAGCGCAACATCAACGTGGGCGACATTGTCTACTGTGCCCCACAAACGGAGCACACACAATTCGTAATACTGTCCAAACTAATGCAGGTGCGCGGCTCAGATGCATCGTGGGAGCACGACGTGGAACCACCAGCGCGCTTCATAGATTACTCTGACGATGAAGCGGAGCGCGAAGCGCGTTGGGAGCAGCGCAAGAAGCGTCAACGTGAACGCACCAATTCCACGGACTCTACGGAGACGGTGACCACGTCGACAACAACGAACACAGAAGCTAGCGAGGCAGCGCCTCGACAGCGGGGTCGACGCGCTCAACGCCAGTCGCAGAACTATTCCCATGGCAATCAGCAACAGCAGCGCCAGCACAGTCAATCACGCTCGCAGTCCAGAGACTCGGAGTACAATTATCATCCCAGCTACAATCCAGGCAGTTGGCATTCGAATTACTATCACAATTATCATCCACCTGCTGCCAATTTCAATATGATGCCCGGCATGGGATTCCCCATGTCCGCGCATGGTTATGGCTATATGCAGGGACCACCGCTGCCACCACCACCTCCGCCACCACATCCCTATGGCATGCCCATGGGTATGCCACCTCACATGTATCCAACGCATCCTTCGCCCTATGGCCCACCCCCTCATCCGCCACCCAATTAAACATCGAATCCCTTTTATTCACTTTATTCCAATAAAAAAATTTGTTTAAAAATTGTTTGCTTTCTGTTTTCTTTTATCGTTAAAATGCTTGAAGTGTTTGTTGTATAAAAAGGTACTTAATCTGTGTGGGATCTCAACAATAACGCTGATTACAGGTGTGTGTGCGCATTGTACATATGGCTGGGTATAAACTTATCTAACGGTGTGTGAATGCATGAGTGTATGTGTACCCAATTGACAAACTTCTCTAAAATTTTAAAAATTGGTTTTAAATTAATATAGCTGATTTTTAAGCTAGAGTTTCTATAGGTTGAAAATTTATTAAAAGAAATTTTAGAATCTATGATAGATTTGTGGATGCATATATATATATATTCTTTATTAGGCCTATAGCAACCTGTTTTTTACTAAATATTTTTGCATAACTTTATAATTAATTTTGTGTTTGTTTCCTTAAAATTTTTCTATCCATTTTATATTTTAATAATATATATATATATATATTATTTATGTTTGTGAAGTTTTTTAGCAATATAAAATTTTGCTATAAAAATTATAGTTTTATATTTATATTTTATTAATATATATAATGCATATTTGTGAATTTTTTAACAATACAAGTTATTATTACTTTTTTTCTCTTTAACTTTTTTTTAAATGTTAAAACTTTAAAATTTTGTTTTTTAAATAAATTTGTAAATTTGTGTTTATTCAAATATATAATTGCTGAATAATAAAAAAAAAAGCTAATTATTCAAAAATTGTATATTGCTTGTGTGAATTGAATTTATGTACTCTATAATATACTTTACTAATAGATTTTATACTTATGATATAACAATTTTAAAATTTTGGCAAGGGTCTTGAATTTAAGGATCACCGTTTAAGATTTACATTCTTTTAAAGATTTTCATTATTATCGATATTCTCCATTAGTTATTACATTGAATTATGCAAAAATTGTTTGTAAAATCGAGTGATTCGTTGGATTTTCGTTACGCTTGTCAACTGGGCAACTATATATATATAGATTATATATAAGTATAACTATATATATATATATATATATATATATATATATATATATATATGTATATATGCTTCATATATGGTTGCTTTATATACAGCAATCGAATCGGGTGGAAGCACTGTGAGCTACTAAAAAGCGGCCAAAAACAATGTTAACTTCTTGGTTATTATGATTTTACCTGTATATATCTATATAAATATATATATGATATATCTCTAAAATGGATGTGTATATGTATATAATATGATGTACACATAGTTGGATCAAAATGTTAAGCTTATTCGAGAGGCACAGGCGAATGTGGTTGCATCGAATCGAAAATAGGAAAATTTAGCGAGCCTAAAGCTATTTACATGGAAATAAAAATATTTAAAAAATAATAATCAAAAATATGTGTGTGATAAACAGACAACAAATGCAGAATAACTATAATAATAATCTGGAAACAACATTCTGTTCTTTTGATTGCCTAACGTTGTACGATTTGGTCGCGCTTCTTGAGCAGAATGAGGATAACGGTTATATTATCCTGTGAGTCCCTATCCTTGGCAGCCTCCACAAGCAATTTGGGAATGTCTTCGAGTTGGGTGGTCGACTCCGCTAAGCACTGATAGACGGTCTCCACAACGAAGGACTCGGGTACATGATCCCAGAGCCCATCGCTGCCCATGACCAAAAAATCATGCGCTTCACTTAGCTGCACGTCGACAAAATCGGGCTCAGCTATGACAGCCTCCAAGCTGTAGTCGCCAATGGAGCGACCCACATTCAAGATGCCATTGACGCGCCATTGGCCCTGGGCGTGAATGACGCTGCCGCCGCTCAATTCGATGCGCCGCCTTTCATCCACAGCCTCTGGTTTGTGTGGTTTGACCAGCTGCAGCTGAGTCCGTTTGCCTACAAGCAACGCCTTGGAGTCGCCCACCCAGGCAATATACAACTGCTGTCCGTTCACGATCAGGGCACAGACAGCAGTTGTGCCGCTGGTGATGCGTTTGCGAGCAAACCGTTCGTCCGCCTGCAAAAAGGTCGCCTCGAAGGCGTTGCGATAGAAGTCCACAGTGCAATCCCCATTAGTTCGCACACGCTGCAATTGCTTGGCCAACAATTGGGGTATTTGACTGGTTGCATAGGTGGCGGACAAGGCACCTGAATGGCCATCGAAGACACCAAAAAAACGGCAATCTTTGTGATCCTCTAGCTGATACATTTCACCAAAACGTTCCAGGCACACATGGCGATCTTCCATTTTACGCGGCTTATTCTTAACAGCTGCAACACTGTGCGATGGTGCTGCGGGCTGTAAAGCGCATGCGCAGCTAGAGGGTTCCTTGCATAGTGCACCATTATCTGCATAGGTCTGCAATTTTTCCATGGCTGCATTGTCCGTCAGCTTAAGCAACAGTTTCTCCAACTGTAGGTTGACAAACTTTTGTAATTTCAATAGATCATATTGGGGCTCGCTGCCATCTGCCTCATTCAGCTCCAGCTCTTTGGCATGACAAATCTCCTGCTCCAGCTGGGAGGTTACCAAATGGAGGAGCTTGAGCTGAAAGGAGACCGGACAGCCTCGGCTTGATAAGTATTTCCAAACGGCTGAAATAATTTCCGCGCGCCTTTCATCGCCATTCACTTTGTAGGTGTCAGTGCTGCTGCGCGTTACACAATTAATGTTGCGAGACAGTTCGTTACCAGAGGTCAGTTCGCTGCTTACGGCTCTTGTGGACAAAAATTCTTTAAATTCCAGCAATTGCGCACATTCCGTAGCTGCTTTCGTCGGATCCGCGTCTGCGTCCATTGACATATTTTTTAACTGATTATCTGCTCAGCTAAGTTGCTGTTGTGCTTACAATTCGGCGCGCTAGACACATGAGTTAATGTACATTAGTAATTGCCGATGATTCACCCGCGCACTTGCATTTTTTACGCAATGCTTCTATTTGTTTATATATTCTGCGCAGTGTGGCTGCATTTGATAAGTAAAAATTTACCGCCATTTTTCCCGGTGATGCCACCCTTTTAAATGGTTTAAATTCATGTTGTTTCTTGTATTCAATAATTTCGTGCACATATGCCAGAAATTAATCATTTTGCTGTCTACATCTTCGTATATTGCGAGGAATATCATTTAAAATTAATATATATTTAGCGCGTGGTTTCATTGCTCGTGCTGCATATATTTATACTTTCAGTGTGAATGTTAAAATTCTTGTTCTTCCTTCGCTGCCGGCAGCACTCAGCTGTTGCTTTGTTTTGTATTAAAGCCAAAAATTATTTAGTTTAAATTGTTGCTTTATTCTATTATTTTTGTGAAATGTGTGTTGTTTGAAAACACTCATTACATTTGCTCAGAATGTCGACACCACTCGAACAGCAGACAGATGAGCGCGAAGCTCTGCAATCCATTTACGAAGGCGATGAAAATTTTAAAGAAATCAACTTGACCACATTTCAATACAAGGTAAGAGCCACATGCACCAATCACAGCAAATATCTATAAATAATTTGTTTCTATGCTTTAGTATGGCGAAGAGGATAGCTATAAATCATTTTTAGTGGAACTACAATGGGGTGAAAATTATCCCGACGAGGCACCCACGATCAATCTAAATACTTTCTACAATCGCAATCTGTAAGTGTAAATGAAATATGACGACGCTGGGCATCTCTTTAGGAACACTGTACTTTCAGCTTACCCGTTGTGAAGGATGCAATAGAGTCAGCACTCAAAACAGAGGCAACACAATGGCTGGGCTGTGGCATGACATATACACTCTTCGAATGCCTTAAAGACAATTTAGAACAATTAACTGCCTTACAGCCCGAAACTGCGCCCACAGTGGCTGTCGTAGACGACGGTGTTGGAGCGCTAAAGATATCAGATCCAACGACAGAGGCCAAGCAAAAGGAACCGAAGAAGGAGCAATTGACCAAAGCGCAAAAGCGTCGTCAATGGGAACGAACCGATCATAAAGGCGAACGTGCACGCGGCTGGGATTGGGTGGATATTGTTAAGCATCTATCACAAACAGGCAGCAAGGAGGACACAGCAGCGGCCTTAGAGAGTGCAGCGGCGGCAGCCGCAGCCAATCCGGTTCTGCACCCACTTAACACCTGAGTTTAGATGTCAACTAGTTAACTAATTCAAATTATCAACGAATTCAATCAAAACAAAAAATAATTGTCAGAATGTGATCAGAGCGGTTGCTGCTTGAGTCCATTAAAGCCGATCAATTTACAACACGCATGTCTGGTTATTCTTTTTGGAGAGACGAGGCCAGCCACTTGGCCGCTAGGGTCAAGTCAATGGAAAATCAAATACTTTTTATAAAAATGAAAAAAACACTGTATACGCATAGATCAGTCGCAAAATGTTGATGCGCTGTGTCAGTCGCTTCGTACGTGTTGATGATGTAATATTTTAAACGAAATTATGTTACAATTCTTATTTAAATTTTTTATAGCGTTTAATATTGTCAGTTAATTTTAGGCAGCGGGCGTGTTAAGTTCGAGTTCGATGTTTAAGCATAAATACCTTGGGGAATACTAAACGCTCTCTCGAAACCAGTTTAAAAGAAAATAGAGAGCGAGACCGAAAGAGACAGCAGGCACGGTACGCGTCGGGTGCGATACTAGATTTAAATAATCAAGTTGGTGTGACAGAGAAGACAGTTGTAGACTCGTCATCATTAGTTTATCTAAACAAATATTCTACAATGGGTCAGAAATGCTCTTGCCTGCGTCGAAGCAAAAATTCCGACGAACACTCGAAAAGCGAAGTCGACTCAAAGCTGCGTATGCGCACTATTAATGCAAATCTTTTAACAGCTCCGGGTAAGCTTTGTTTTTGTTTTTCAAATATTTGCTTTGTTTACATTTGACAATGATAATGAGACTGCATACTATTATTACCTAATGTCGATTTTACCTTTTTTGTATGCCAATTTGCTGTTCGCTGTGGGCGTACGTGTACATTTCAAAACTAGTTGCCTACAGTCTAGCCATTTATTTAGTTTTTTGAAATG